CCGAGCGGCGCGGTGCGGCGGCGGCGGCGGCAGTGGCGGCGGCCGAGGAGCGGAGGCCGGCGCGGAGAGGGGTGGCGAGAGAGCGGATCATTGTGGGCGTGTGCGAGGGCGTGCGGTGGGTGGAGAAAGGCGAAAGGAAGCGACAGAGATGGACGAGGAGAGGCGGAAGGGGGGAAGCCGGGTCGAAGAAGAAGGAGAAGAAGAAGAAGGAGGTCGGCCGCCGAGCAGGAGGAGGAGGAGGAGGGTGAACGCTGGCCTCGCCCGCCCGCCAGCGCCAGAGACAGAAGTGCGGGGGCGGGCCTGCCCACCACCCACCGGGCTTCGGCCAAAGCAAAGCCGCCTGCCGTAGGCGCCATGCCGCTTGCCCCGCACTCTTGGCCCTCTTGGCCCTTCGGATTTTCCGGTCCACTCGGCCCACGCCCGCCACGCAAGGCCGAACTCGGCTCCCGATCGGCAGCCTCCCGATCCTGACCTCGCCGCCGCGGACACTGCACTGCCCTGGCCTGCCCTGGCCTGGCCTGGCCTGCCAGCCCGCCATCGCATCTCTCGGCGGGTCACATCGGTCGACCAGCGAGGTGGCGTGACTCGGTGGCCATCCACCCTGGCCGAGCAACGGCTAAGTTGGAGGCTGCCGGTCCGAGCTGGGCTGATCGTGGGGCGAAGCTGCGTGGGCCAGGTCGCGCAACCGCCAGCCTGCCGGGCCAAGGGGAAAAAGGCGCGAGAAAAGACTGATGAAATTCCAGGCGGGGTCGCTCGCTCTCTTCCACGCCAGCACCCTGGGCACCCTTCGTCGCCGCACGCCGCCGTCAACCGTCATTCGTCAGAACAGAGATGCTGGGTGGATGGATCAGATGGAATGGCAGGGGACTCGGTGTTCGCGTCATTGGAATACGTAAGGGGGCCAGCGCCGAGGGTAGAGGAGGGGAGGAGAGGGTGAGAGGCCCAAGGACCGGGGGTTCAAAGGCAAGGGGAGGCGGCAGGCGTCTCAGGGAGCGCCAGAGGCCTCGAGGCTACTACAGGCCACCACGGTCGCGTCGTGTGTCGAGGCTGGAGGCTGGTTCCTCGGCGGTCGGTCGGTCGATGGCAACAAGGGTCGCTGCAAGCAGGGAAGCCCCGCAGGGCCGGGAGGAGACGTGGTCGACGGCGGGCGCAAGCGACGCGCGCTCCCTGTCCGACGGGGCAGAGGGGCATCGGCTGTCGGCCCGGTCGGAGCCGTCGCTTGTCGTGGGGCGGTGGTGGCCGCGTCAGTTGCCCCCGGGCCCGCGGTGGGCGCCGCTGAGAAGAGCCATGAGGTTCGCGCCGTTCATGGCCTGCGAGCCCACGGGCGGGATGCCGGGGGGCGGCGGGCTGCCCATGCTCGCCGGGTGCTGGTGCTGCGGCTGCTGGCCGTGCGGCTGGGGCTGGGGCTGGGGCTGGGGCGACGTCGGCATCGGCCCCTGGTGCTGCAGAGGCATGTCGTACGGCGACCGGGGCCCGCCTGCCTGTCCGGGCATGGGTCCAGGTCCTCCGGGCCCGGGCAGGCCCTGGCCAGAGAGGAGCTGATGCTGCAGGTGCGGAGGCAGGCTCATCAGCTGCTGGTACAGCTGCGGCGGCATTCCCGGAGGCGGAGGTCGGCCGCCAAACGGAGGTGGGAAGTTGGGGTACTGCCCCGACATGGGCGGGGCTCCTCGCGGTCCGCCCATGCCGCCGGGCGGTGGAGGAGGAGGGCTGGCCAGCCCGGGAGGGGGCACAGGTCCTCGGCCGAAGCCCAGCGCGGCGGCAATGTGCGGCGGCAGCTGGCCCGGCCCCGTCGATCCGAGACCGGGCGCGCCCATCGGCGGGCGCGACATCATCCTCGGGTCCATGCCAAACGGTGGCCTGCCGCCCGACACGTTGCCAGGCCCAGGGCTCGGGAAGCCGTACGGTCCGAGGCTCGAGGGATCGCTGGGACGTCCCGCGGGAACGCCGCCCGGGTAGCCAGGCATCGGCTGCCCCTGGCCCTGGCCCTGCTGGCCTTGCTGCTGCTGCTGCTGCTGCTGCAGTCGGTGGACGGCGGCGTGGTCGTTGTAGGGCGAGGCGACTGCCTGAATCGCCGGTGACTGGGAGCGCTGCTGGTTCGACTTGCTCGACGTGCTGATGACGCGCGAATGGTGGCCTCGAGGATCGGTGCCCTGCTCGTGTGGCTGGTGAGGCTGCTGCTGCAAGGCGACGCCGAAGCCGGGTGGGAAGCCGTAGCCGTGGGGCGCCTGCGGGCTCGTGACGCCCGGCGAGGCCATCTGGCTGCGGTCGTCGTCGGAAAACGACGCCGCCGGCCGCTGACCGCCATGGCTGCCAGGAGTGCCTTCTCCGTTGCCACCGCCGTTGCCGACACCGCCGCCGCCGAGGAGCTCCCGCATCCTATTGACCGAGTCCGGACGGGGTCCCTGGGCATGAACGGGAGTCGACGCGTCGCGACCGTCGCTCGAGCGCGGACCACCCGACTGCGAGCCGCTGCCGCTGCCGCCCCCGCCTCCGCCGCCGGCCTGAAGCATGGCCATGAGCTTCTGCATGCTCTGCACGTCGGCCTCGCTGGCCTTGGACTGGCCCTCGGCGCGCTTGTCGCCGCTGCCCTCGCCCGAAGAGGCCTGCTTGAAGAGGTCGGCGATGTTGATGCCCGTGGAAGGCTTCTGGTCGTTTGCAGCGCTGGGCTGCGGAGGTTTGGTCTCGCCCGTTGTCGCCGTCGCCGTCGCCGCCGCCGCGGCCGGCTTGTCGTGGGCGGCGGCCGAGCTGGGCCGGTCGAGGCTGGGCGTGGCCGAGATCAGGTTGCCGCGCGATTCGAGCAGCTTTTGCTGAGCCGCCAGCGCCGCAGCCTGCGGGTCGCGCATCCCCGGACGGCCGTCAAAGAAGCGCGCGAACCGGCTCGAGCGGCCGGGAAGACCGGGCGGCGCATCGGTCGCGCCAGCGGCAGGTCCGCCTCCATGGCTGTTGGACATGGTGTCGTACAGGCCCGGAGGCGGGCCCGAGGCGACAGACGAGCTGCTGGCGGCGCCAGCGTCTCCGTTGGACCGGCCGCCCGCCGGGGCATCGGCCGGGCTCGACGCCGCGCCAGAGCCCTTGCTGGCGTCGTCGTGGGCGTCGCTGTTGCTG